CATAATGAACAAGATTTTAGTTCTCCAAGCCATTACGTGACGAAATCTGGTTGAGTCAGGTGTTAAGAGCAAGCACATGGTTGAAATGTGTGTTAAAGCATGAAACTTAAGCTTGGTTGAATGTGTGTCAAAAGCATGAAACTTGGTTGAATGTGTGTTAAAGGGCAAGTTCACACGGAAATTAACCTATTTTTCTTGTACTTTTTCCACATTAAAAGTGTTAACCTAGAAGTGTCATAGACAAAAATATCAAAATATCACAATTAATTAACATATTTTTCGCATTAAAACGATTTATATTTTTCACATTTACCAAGTGTTCTATTTCCACAACAAAAACACCATGGCTTATGCCCCTTGCAATATGACGTCATTGGTGCCAATTGATAAACATTATGACGTCATCATGCTTTGTTAGAGCCGCTTCACGTGGTGTAGGTCTAGGTGTGTGATTCTAGCGTCTCAGATGCCAGCCAGCATAGTGTTATGCTGAGTCACCACTGCGCCGGAGTGTGTCGTAGGCCATGTTGTTTTACCGCAAACTTGTACTTGATATCTTTTGCGTTGAGAATAGACAGGGACCAAGTTGAATTGGCACCAATTACGTCATAATCTAAGGGGGATAACTCAGGCCTGTTTAGCTCGAAAAACGAAGGCCTCATAACGGCATATCATTTTCACACTATTGTGAGCTTCCTACTTTCACTGTGAAAAAAATGAGTGTATATTTTGAAACACAGATACCAAATTATTCTAAAATTGCATTTTGTTTAGAAAAAGAAAGAAAGTGATTTTTGCGTGTACACTTCCCCTTTAAAAGCATGAAACTTGGTTGAATGTGTGTTAAAGCATGAAACTTGGTTGAATGTGTGTTAAAGCATGAAGCTTGGTTGAATGTGTGTAAAAAACATGACACTTGGTTGAAAGTGTGTCAAAAGCATGAAACTTGATTGAATGTGTGTTAAAGCATGAAACTTGGTTGAATGTGTGTTAAAGCATGAAGCTTGGTTGAATGTGTGTCAAAAACATGACACTTGGTTGAAAGTGTGTCAAAAGCATGAAACTTGATTGAATGTGTGTTAAAGCATGAAACTTGGTTGAATTTGTGTTAAAGCATGAAGCTTGGTTGAATATGTGTAAAAAACATGACACTTGGTTGAAAGTGTGTCAAAAGCATGAAACTTGATTGAATGTGTATTAAAGCATGAAACTTGGTTGAATGTGTGTCAAACGCATGAAACTAGGTGGAATTATGTGTTAAATCATGAAATGTTGCATTTTGTTATTCGTGTACTTTGTTATATGTGACTAGGCATATTTGGAAACTAAATCGGAAACCTAGTGCAATAAAATAAACGAAAAATTCCATTCCGTATTTTCGGAAAAAATCAGGATATCTTGCAATTAGGTACCTGCTTTCAGTGGCCAGGACGGCAACTCAAATCTTCTTGTGCCAAAACACTATTTAGTGTATCTTGTTTTCACACAGAGTAAACATTAGAGACAGGGCACTTCCAGGTATGTATTGGAAAGGTTCCTGAATGTTTCCGAATGTTTGGAGACACGACTTGTCATGTTGTGGGTACCCGGAACTGATGAGAGTACCAGGTCCATAATATGTTCTCAACAGATCCCGCTTTGGTTGTCGTTAAACCAATAGCTGATCGTTATCCCCGCATGTCGAGGCCCGTGATATGCGTGTTGTTGACGATGCTCATGATCATGATCACGTGCGTGTGCCAAGTCGTGTATATACGTCAGCTCCCGTGACGAACATAGTAAGGGTTGGTTCCCACGGCTCTGTAAAGTGTTATGCCTCAGCAAACAAGGACAATACCTTTCTACATAACTGAGTCACGTCTGGGATTCGAACCCACACTGCCACTGACTTTGTGTGTTGGCGATTAGGTGCCGCACTCTGGCAAGTGTGGGTTCGAATTCCGGACGGGACTCATCCAAAACAGTACGAGAATCTGTACTTTACTAAGAAAGTGTTATCCCAAATATAACATTTGTTACATGGAGCAGTTTGTGTGAGGCGAACGAAGGGCAGTGGGAACTTTGTGAAATGGCGAAAATGAACCATAATATAATGTATGGTAACAACAGTTGTTTTCCCATTACCAAAACAACCTTCTTATCTTTGAAACCCGGGGGCACGGGTGGCCCGGTCGTCTAAGGCGCCGCGATTCGCCGTGCAGAGTTGCGTCCCTTGGGCACGCCAGAAACCTATGATTGTGGGTTCGAATCCCGGTTCTCCCCGATTATGTTCCTAGGTTTGTCAGCACCATACCCGTGCTCGTGGGTTTCACCGAAGTGGTAAACGTCTGAGACCAGCATCACTTCGGGCTTTCCTCCCACATTAAGCTGACACGCCGCGATATAACTGGAATACTGTTAAAAGCTGCGTTAAACCCAACTCACTCACTCGCTCTTTTAAACCCGGGAAGATTCGGGTAGATAAAAGATCTTCAGCAACCCATGCTTGTCGTAAGAGGCGACTGACGGGATCTGGTGGTCAGGCACGGTGACTTGGTTGATGCATGTCATCGTATCCCAAATGCGTGGATCGATGTTCTTGATGTCAATCACTGGATTGTCTGGTCTAGACTCGATTATTTACAGACCGCCGTCATATATCTCGAATACTGCGGAGTGCGGCCTTCACAACAAATAAACAAACAAACATAACTTTTTGAACATAAAAACAATACAACGAATCACATATATGTGAAAGCCCTATAAACATAGTAAAGTGACATTTAGAAGTTGCAGTATCAGTGAAGATAGTATGTAACATATCTATTTCTTGAATGCAAGTCGCCGACCTATCCGTGCAGTTACTAGCATCTTTATGAAGCTACTTGTACAAGAAAAACGTGCAAGAGTACCAAAAGAATTTCCAGTCGACCCGTCCTAACTTCAGTCAAAATACCAAGTAGATTGTCGATTCCATTACCACATGACACAGTTGTATCCATGGACATTTATAACGTATAGTATCTGTACCACTGTTCTTGTAAATTGATGTGTGTAGCTTTAATTATATCATAAGCTGAAGTGTTCGAGTATGTTGCCCAGTTTACGACGAATCACGATATCTAATTAACTTTGCAAAAGTGATATAAAAATAATGAGGACTAAAATTGTTTATAAATCCATATATCTGAAATACTACTTGAAAGGCAACCCTCAAATGCTAATCTGTAGTTTATGAACAGTATGATGTGACGCTGATTGATGCAATACGTGGAACGATACGTGTATATACATGGCGAGGGGAATCGAGTTGAAAAGCTGTGGTATATCGCTGAATTGTTTGGGGTGTTCATTTACACACACACAAAAAAAAATTAAAAATTACCAATAGCACACGTGCGTGTATGAATGACTCAGCGGAGTGATCGCGCAGACTCCACCGACATCAGCAACATGTAAGTCGTGGCTTCATCCATATGCTCCCTTGGTGTTTGTTCAGATGCAAACACAAGGGGACATATGGCACAAATCAAATTAGGAATTGCTTCGGACTTATTGTCATCAGTAACCAATATAATCTGCTTGAACTTCGCTACTTGAAATAGTTTCATTGATTCTTGGGTTCAGAAAAGCATCCTTAGTCATGAAATACCGCCTTTTGAACAACTGAGGGAACACCTTACTCCGAGTTAACCATCAGTCAATTGTAGCCAATTTCGAGGTTAACAATCACTTTAATATAGACTATTTCGTCGTTACTAATCAACGAAAAAGACGATTTCGAATACACCTACCGCTACGTGATGACATATTACCTACTTTGTATTTTATTAATTTCAAGATATTATGTAGAGAAACTCCTTGTTCAAATTTGTTTTTCGATCCGTTCAGAAACGAGGCTACTGATTCAGCGACATCGCTTTTATCACTGGATTGCCATTCATGAGTGCAGCTACCCATTACCCTGTAGCCTGTAATAGCCACAAAATATGCCATACGGCAAAGTCACACATAAAGTCTGGCCTCAGTCAATACCGGTAATACCAAAGTTCACGTGTCTGCCAGAGCAGAGCACGTCTCGTGGTGACCCGACGTCTGACGTCACAGAGGACGTAGTTAATGCTTTCAGCTTCCCTGCAGTCGATATACCTTGATGGTAAATCCCTACCCTCCAGCTCATGATCGATACAGATTAGTCAGAAGCTTTACCTACACTTCACTGGGTCCGTCACTTTCATGCAGGCATTAACCTGTGAGCTACTTAACGTTCACATACATATTTACACTGGGATTGTCAGGCACTAAAGCGGACACACAATAGGTAAGTTAACCATCATCTCAGTCTCTGCAGTAGAAGATCTCAGCCGTTATTTACCGATACCTCGATGAGATACTATGAGTCTTTGACATTATGCCGATTTCATTTTTTCTCTACGTTTAATGTTTTATTGACGTTTTATTCATCTTCTTCTAATATCATCACCATCATCTTCATCTTCATCTTCATCATCATCATCATCATCATCATCATCATCACCACCACCACCACCACCACCACCACCACCACCACCACCATCATCATCATATTATTATTATTATTATTATTATTATTATTATTATTATTATTTATTAAATATAATTAGCAATATCCAAAACGTCGGTTTTGATATATTTCGCTATATTTGTTAATTGTTTCATTGATGTTTTTGATTAAATATCCCTTTGGGAATTCAGGATCAGAATAGTGCCCAGCTTCCCTTAACTGTCGCAATAGCCGTGTAGAAGGTATATCCCAGCTGACTGTGTGTCATCACTCCCCGACGGCGTGGAAGCTTTGCTCGTGTTATTAACCATTGGTTTGGCTAGAAGACTCACTTTTTTACTGTTCGTCGTGATATAATTGGAATGTTACTACTGCGCCGTTCACCCACTCATAATTGATTAATGTCACTAAAATATACTTCCACAGCCATTCTAAAGTAAGATGTTTGCAACGTTCATCGAAAACGTATATTTTGCAGATGACGTTAACGTCGCCGCAGTCTTGAGATGAAGATTTGGTCAGGACCTCGTCAACAACGACCCTAGGGGGAACAAGGTGCTGCAGCGATGTCGCGCACTCAACGCACTACCAGAGACGCAGCGGATGCTCCTGGCGTCCCTCTTAAGCTACCACTGTTACAGGACATCACAGGCTCGAACCAAGTGATGCCACCATCTGCAGCAGACAATGCGAATGATCAAACTACAGCCCGTGTCAACATAGCGCGTCTCTCCCAGAACGAGGCTCTGTCGCTCCTGCACCAGTACAATAGTATAGTACTTGATGATGCCGCGGGGCCGCAGACTCTGCCACACATCAAAATTGCTATGAGAACGGGAGGGCCGAGGGCAGTCCCCGTGAGAGAGAGGATAACAACAAAGAGTCTTGAAAGAGTTGACAGACCCGGAGCGATGTATTTCACCGAAGGTCTTAGCTCCATCAGTGAATTCAAGGAGCCTCCTCTGGCCATGCGCAGACGAGACATTTTAGGTGCCAATATGCCAGATACGGTACGAATAGCTCGGGAAAGGAGCCATGTTACAATAGGTGTGAACTGTTACCGGGCACGCAGGCAGAGACTTGGAGCCAGGGCTCCGCGGACCATGGGGGTCAAAAGCATGGTCCTTGAGCCGGGGTCAGTGACGGCTAGTCAGATCACGGCACCTCTTGCACTTCCCCAGAAAGTCGACATGGCTGACGCATGGGAGGAGAGGTCCGTGAGAAGTGAGAGCCGGATTGCCCGGATGTTAAAAAAGATTGAGGAGAGGTACGGTAAGGACGTGGTTGAGCACGCCCTTCCTTCTACCCCAAGTGTCCAGTCCGTGGACTTTTACACGTCGTCAACAGCTGTTACGACGCCGGTGAGAACGCCGAGACGAACGCCCGTGAAGGAAAAAAAACCCACCAAAACACGCCTCAGTGTTGTGTCCCTTGGACAGTCTCTCTCGGACCTTCCCCGTAAACCCCGACCCTCTGTCAACATCCCCAAACAAAGCAAGGACATCAACTATAATCAAATAGAGCGATACAAACAGCATGTGACGGAGAAGAAGCCGAGTCGGTTTGAAATGAGGTACAATGTGATTAAAGAACACAAGCCAGGCCTTCACTTCCCGTACGGGGCAGAAAAGAAGTCATTTTTCGGGCCGGTTAAACCGAAGGCAAATACCAGAAAGAAACGCCAGATTGTTGTGTCGCTTTCAGATATGACTGGGACCCCGGACCAAGACGAGGGCGGGTCTGATGAAGACGCAAACAAACCTGAACCAAAGAAATCACAAAATGGAACATTCCATGTGGAGGGGGTGAAGGGTGTTGGGACAGGGCAAAGATTGTGGTCTCCATCTAGTGTCAGTACATCAGCATCAGTAGCTAACCCTCCTCCCAGTGTTGAGGTTGGACTGTATGACCTCGAGTTCCCACACATCAAAGACCCAGCAGCCATGTTTACACTGGACGAGGAAGAGGTCGGCGAGAGTTCTAGACTACAGGCCCCCGCGGGAGAACATCTCTCTGACGGAAATGCGTCTACGGTGTCTAGCTCCCTTCTCAGCGTCCCGCCTTTGGGTGCGGGGAACGAGCCTCGCCCACAAGAGGAACTGATCTGGGGGGAACGTCCTCCAAGAAAAGATAACCCCGTGGTTGATGATGGTCCATCCACATCTAGGAAAGTTCAGCCGTCTCCGGAGGTCAAGGTCACAAACATTGAACTCTATCCGGGGTCAGAGGATCGACCTCGACCTACCATCAGTGTCAGTGTCAGTGACAGTGACGAGGTGGAGGCAGACATTCAGAGACAGAAAGAGTCGAATATTGAGCCGAGACTTCACAGTAAAGCGGTGGATCCAGGGACTCACGGTAAAGTGGGGACAAAGGAACACAAGTTAAGTGATGAGGATGATGAGGATACGAGAAGCGAATCCAGGGCTAAGGAGAAGACATCAGCTGTGTCTGTCCACAATCAAAGCATCACATTTATTTCTCCACTCGAGACACAGGCAAATGCCAAGAGGCAATAAAACTGATGTCGAGACGTACTCAAGCAGGGTCCCATTTCACGATGTTACGATCTTATATTGTAACCGTTATTACGGTGATAATGTTGCTTTATGGGACGGACTCGTTTCCAGAGCATTTCACTACTAGAGCAGTTCACAGGGCGTGTGCCCAGCATAAACAATCTGCTAGTAGAGCATTGCATTGCATGAGCAATGAGTGACTGAATTAACATTGTTTATACCACATCAACTATTAGCTGTGATAGGACAGTGTATAAAAGACACAAGGGTTATGTATTTAACAATTACATGTAAAACCAATAATACTGTATTATTTAAAATGTTGTGTTTGTCATTAGACAGTGTTCAATCTTTTAAAAAAGAAGGGGGCGGTCGGGTAGCCTAGTGGTTAAGCGTTGGCTCGTCAGGCCGAAGACCCGGGTTCGATTCCCGACATGGGTACAATGTGTGAAGCCCATTTCTGGTGTCCTCCGCCGTGATATTGCTGGAATATTGCTAAAATAATGCTCATGCACTAAACATTTCATGGAAGCCGGTAGTTCTGTAGACCAAAGCAGATATGCAAGCTACCCGGCCAATTTGCACGTTGCGCATGACAGTATTACGTTCCTACACCCCCGTGAGGAAGCGGAGTAGAATAGGTCTTCAGCAACCCAAGAGACGTCTAACGGGATTGGATGGTCAGGCTCGCCGTCATATAGTTTAGCTGAGTGCGGCGTTACACAACAAACACACCAGGGCAGTCGGAAGACTCTGATATAAGCGCGAGTTTAAAGTTAATTGGCTTTTCACCCCACTTCAAACACACATGCAAAGGTCAATTCCAGGATAGAATAGAGACGGACACTAGCCTTCGGAATGAAGCGAGTTCATATAAAAGATTACGCGGATGTCAATCGATAAAATTATCCTAAGTAAATTAATATACATTCATATTTTATTTCCACTGGTAATCGAGTAATACCTACCTATTTCAACTGCAAGTCTTTCAATACAGGCACTGGGGTTAGTCGGTGTTCAAATTCATTGCATGACTAACTTATGCTTTACACGTTTGCTGAAAATATGTCAATGAAACCAAGCTCGGACATGGACACCAATAGATCTTGGACCTGTCAAGTGAATGCCTGTGAACGCGAGATCTAAGCGTGTGTGTGTGTGTGTGTGTGTGTCTGTCTGTTTTTACAAGTCCGACTAATGCCGATTTATAGTGTTAGCCCACTGAGATACCATGATGCAGTTAAACATGGATACCCCACTCAGACACAGTATACTGACTCCGAGCATACCAGTCCTTGGTGCCGTTGTACAAAGCGATCTTAGTGTTAAGGTGATCGTAACTCCCATACCTCACCATAGACAGTCGTAGCGCTGAGGTTGTTTACAACGGTACCCTGGTGTTAAGCCCTTCATGCTGAGCGCCAGGCAGGGACACAAGTACCATCTTTTAACATCTATTGGTATGACATGGCTAGGGTTCGAACCACAAACCCTCCACTCTCTGGAAGGTGCGATGTCCACTAGACCACGGAGGCGGAGCGCCAGGCAGGGACACAAGTATCATCTTTTAACATCTATTGGTATGACATGGCTAGGGTTCGAACCACAAACCCTCCACTCTCTGGAAGGTGCGATGTCCACTAGACCACGGAGGCGGTCGACATTTAGAGAGGAACAAACAAATGGATGGCAACCATTTTAGGCTATGTGAATAAGCAATTCCATCTGTGAACTGAAAAACTAAGTGTTCCATATTCCTTAAACTGGTCCTGTTGGCAAATTGGTGATACACACATTGTCAGCACATTACAGTACACAACATGTGTCTGCCTCACACAAATTAAGCTGTATGTTCACGTGAGTTGGGATCACCACTTTCAATATTATTTCAGTCATGTGGCAGTGTGGCAGTTTAATGTGTTTGAGGGATAGACGCTTATTATCGCTTGATAAAACTCACGAGCCGGATACGGTTTTGATAGGCCAAGGATCATAATTGGGACAAATATGGGATTTGAACCCTGGAATCACAGATCATTACATGGTTAACTAGAATGAACACATATTGCAGTAATCCACTCTCTATTACCTTAACAGTTCTGGTATGGTAAAAAAAGGCAGACATTTTGGAGAAATTTCCAATGATCTGATGCTGTTTACCTTTAAAATGCTGGCTAGGGTTGTAACGATACACTTTGTTGCAATACATTTAAATAGTAAGGAACGAAGGAGAACAATATAACATACTTAGCACAGGGTTAACATATCTCCTTAAAATATACTTGTATCAGATTGTATCAATACATGACCTCACAATACAACACTGGTATCATGGCAATGTATTGCAATGCAGGGAACAATCAATGAATTGTCATGCCCTTTTGCTGATCTTAATTAATCATGTTAAGAGCTAAGGTTTAAGAGTCTGAGCAGAAAGGCCATGGTGGTCACCTCCTGTTTTAGCTGCTGAGAGTGAGGGTATGTGTGGGCAGGATTTTACACTTCCAGTAATGTTACAGCAAAATCATGACTAGTCTAACACATTGTACCATTTGTGACAAGAGAACAAACTAGCATACTTACAAACCATCCAGCCTTTGAAATTCATGCTAGTCTGCTAGCCTGAGACTACTAATTTGTATTAAGGACTAGTAAAAATCCGGTGGTAGTAGCATTTGAGGGCTATACTTCTGAACCAGTGAATCAATTTTTCAATAATTTTACAAATTGGAACGTATAAAACTGACAGAAAAATTAAACATAGCAATCATTATTATCTTGTTCAAGCAGATCTACCGTAGCTATCATTTCTGAGGACTAGTCTGGACTAGTCTTAACCTGAATTTCTAAGGCTGCAAGATCTTGGAAATTCGAAGTGATGGGGTACTTACTGAGTAATTACAAGGAATTCTGATGTGACCTTGCAGGCTAGTGAACGCTAACAGGTTTATTATGAAGGCCCATCAACCAGCTCATTTCACCAACCCAGTTTTGATTAAACACTGTGCAGAAAATAAAGACACATCAACACATATTATATAAGTAATGCTTTAATAACTGCCACACAATGGCAGAATAACATATAATATACACATCCACGTCAGCCTGACAAGGCAACATCCACACAGTGGTGTGATTGGCATTAGAAGGATAAGGAGGGGGAGGAAGTGGGGGTGGGGGTGGATGTCAGGGAGTAGATTGGCTCTGTTCCAATCACTCATCTTGGGTCCTGCTGAAGTCTGTGTTGAACACCTGTAGTGCTTTGATGGTTGTAGGTAAACAACAACTGCTTACAAAGGTCATCTCTCAAAACTCTGTTTGTACTACAAGAACACTTGACTGTATTAGTATAATGGACAATCAAAATCTATACTTGAACTTCCATACAGGTTTGCTGTAGGCTTAGCAATGAGATCAGTTCGAGAACTGAAAACAAAGTGATTCGGGTCTACGGCATCATGACTCTCATTTACTAGCATACACTTATGGCACAAAGATTGCTTAATGGGGGAACAGAGTACAGCATTTAGATAAAAGAACACTGATGCACTATTTTCAGCCACCTATCATCTTGTATCATCCACTATTTAGTTCTGGTATTGGAATAATTGTTACATGCAACTGCTGACAAAGTGACCAGAGGTGCTGGAAGGTAGCCAATCTGGTGATTGGTTCACATGGAAGAGAGCACCGCTGGGCGCCATTTCCACAAGGCAATGTTATCTCTAAGTCTATGATAATGTATGGGAGTTACAATCCTCCTAGACCAAAGATTGCTTCAAGGAAAGGGGCCCAAGTCAGTGTTAACATTCCAGGCTTGTACCCACACAAATACACTGTCATATAGGCTATATGCTCTTGTAATTTGGATATCAATTGTCTTTATTTCCTCAAAATACATATGAAAAGAAAAAGAATGAACAAAACAAATCAACATAATAACAAGGATGACAATTAATTTGTCAACTTATGGCAAGATCTAGAGTGATGAAGGCATGTTTCCTGTATATATATACCATTATATATCCTGACTCTACACTAAGCACAAGACTGAGGAATCACTCTGGACACAGCAAGTTTTCATATTTCGAGGGTGATTCATGCCTAGTCAAAATAGAAATATAGGTTTGCAATAAATGAATGCATATGCATATGATCTGATTTGAGACAAAAACAAAAGGCATTTTTTCCCAATAGTAAAGAGAATACACTCAACCAACATGTCAAAAGTCAGTGCCAGAGACTAAAATGCTATTACTTGTCAGCCTTAAATGCAGTTTACCTTCTTGATCGTGTTCACTGAAACTACTGAGGTCAGTATGTAGTATCTTAATGTCCTAATTCTGTCTTTTCTACACAATCACAAGTTACAAACTGAGAAAAATATTTATCCTACACACCCATTTCTGCATGCAAATTGAATAAAAAAGTATGGCTTCATTTTGAAAAAAGAAGTTATTTAAAAAAAAGTTATGTAACTGGTGTTCACTCAGCCAATATCTTTAACAAAACATGACTTCCAACTGGTACAGGGTTTCCTGGGCTGGATGAACACCTACACATAACACACACAACAGATGATAAGAATAAAACCAAAACAAAACCATAAACAAGTAATCTACATTCAATCCAAACAAAATAACAAATGGTTAAATAATAAAGATATTGCTGACTTCAGCTGTCAAGAAAAACAATATGAACACTCTTCTATCAAGACTGAGGGCAAATCTGTCAAAGAGAGGAAGTCCCTACCAGGCAGCCATAGTATTGTCAACACATATAGAGGCTCGCATCAACCTCAATGTCCAGGAGTGAGTGAGTGAGTTCGGGTTTTACTGTCAGCATAATTTCATCCTTATGGCTGGGGACACCATGAAAGGGCTCCTCATACCTACCCATGTGGGGAATCGAAACTGCATCTTCAGCACGACAAACCGTTTTATCATCAATTAACAAACAGTTCTTAGCAGCTAAGGGAGGCAACTCTGTACAGCAAGTGTTTCAGCCCACAAGTCCACCAGCCCATAAGTCCATCCTGCTCTCTCTACATCAGTAGATAACCTCTTATCTCGTGCATCCTGTTCCAAAATAAATCTCCACCTATCTGCCTACATTGTGTTGATTCCCTGTGTCCCTGCATAACAACTATGACATTACTCTGGATTCAAATATCCTCCATTTACTGACCATTTTCGAAACTGCATACATTTTCCTGAGAATTATGGAAATACTTTTTCCAAACTAAACAAGGGAGCCAGTGTTCGAAGCTCCTTCAAAACTGCAATAGGTCCTGAGATGAACATTTTCATATTGTCAAGGTCAGTTTCAGAAAATATGTTTGAAAATTTACAATTTTTAAATGCTGGGGGGGCTCTGTTTAAACATCGCTTCAACGGTTTCTGTACACTTCATTATGATCTTGGAGAAACATTATTTCACTCTTAATCTTCTTGTTTACTTGTTTATACTCAACCTTTAAAAGGAATAATCAGATATGTCATTCGATTAAAATATACACTTCCGTATTATGAGAATCAGTTCTGTGTAGCATCATGATCATCATAAGATAAAAATATCGCTATCAAAAGTGGATAAGTATATAAGCATTGTTCCTTTGTTGTTTTTGTTGTTGTTAAATGCAGCACTCAGCAATATTCCAGCTATATGACGGCGGTCTGTATAATAATCGAGTCTGGACCAGACAATCCAGTGATTGACATCATGAGCATCAATCCACGCAATTGGGATACGATGACAAGCGTTAACCAAGTCAGCGAGCCTGACCACCCGATCCTGTTAGTCCCTTTACAACAAGCATAGTTGCCTTTTACGGCAAGCATGGGTTGCTGAAGACCTATTCTAACCCGTATCTTCACATGCTTCCTATCAAGATACATTCGCAATGGTAAGCATGTTTTTCAAGACTGTGATCTTATGTTAAATCTTGAGTACATTAGCATACATAATGACGAAAAACATTTTTAAAAAAACAATCACAAAATAAAATGTGTTCTTTGCGATAACATGCATATATTAAGTGTTTCATCATGATATACAAAGCAAAAAGCTTTTTTGTTACTTTGAACACATATCAAAGCATCAGTTGTATGTATCATTTACATCATGTATATTGCCAGTCCTGCCTTATCTCGGGCACCAGGACAAGGAAATATGGTTTCCCAAGTCCTCTGAAGCAGTCTTAAGAAAAACAAATTTCTAAGGCTGACCAACCCTCAACAACTGAGCAAAACCAGTTTATATAAATGATTCTCGGAAATACCTGGTCCTTACGTCTGACTATCACACTGCGATCTCAGTGGCAATGACCAACACCATAATTATATGTGTGTATCTGTGATTCGTTGACATCAAACCTACGCCATTGACAGCTCATGAGCTGCAGCATAGTGTCCGGTGACGTAGTGGAATATCTGCCGTTCAATGTCCCCCAACAGACTGCTGGCGCCGATACGGAACAGATTTGGTTTGGTCCAATCATCTCCCAGTTCCTCCTTCATCATTGAGAGCCAGGTACACGAATCTTTGGCTGTCCGGATCCCCCCTGCAGGTTTGAACCCGACCTGTGATCATACAACATCCGGGGTTAATATAGTTGACATGTTGAGACCTGAGGTTTGTTTGTTTGTTTGTTGTTTCACGCCCCACTCAGCACTATTCGAGCTATATGATGGCGGTCTGTAAATAATCGAGTCTGGAGCAGACAATCCAGTGATTGATATCATGAGCATCAATCCAAGCAATTGGGATCGATGACATGAATCAACTAGTCAGCGAGCCTGACCACCCGATCCTGTTAGTCGCCTCTTACGACAAGCATAGTCGCCTTTTACGGCAAGCATGGGTTGCTGAAGACCTATTCTATCCCGGATCTTCACGGTTCAGACCTGAGGTGAGAAACAGCTAGGTGTTTGTGTGGCTGCTTGTACTAGTCTGGCTTAATGCCGATTTGTTGGTGCTAGTCCACAAAATACAATACCCGCAGTTTAACATGAATACCTCACTCAGACACAGTACACTGACTGTGAGCCGACCAGTCCTTGTTTTATGCCCTTAAAAATTCAAACACAAGTTTTGAACAACATTGTGCTGCTAAATACCAAAAACAATTGTTAAGACTGAAGCTATTCAGAAGATATAGAAGCTGCCAAAGTAGTAGTAACAGAATTACTTCCCTTGACCTGTTAACATTAACCTTGACCAAATGATATGTGGGCCTACAGCATGACTAGATGGCTTGTACAAGCTTCATTCCTGACATTACACTCTACAGAGTTGTGTCCCTTCATATCATTTGGTATAATTCAATATTTACTCCTATGAAAACTGCAGAAAATTAACCTGCTGTCTCATGGACTGTGACAATTAATGGCTGTAAACATGACAGAGTTGTGTCCCTTGATAAGATACATTTGGTATAATTCCATATTTACCCTTATGAAAACTGCAGAAAATTAACCTGCTGTCTCATGGAGTGTGACAATTACTGGATGTAAACATGACAGAGTTGTGTCCCTTAATAATACACATTTAGTATACATTTATTTACACTTTTGAAAATTGCAGAATATTAACCTGTTGCCTTATTGTCTGTGACAGTGTCAGGCCGTGAAAAAGCTTAAGCATTTGATTACTAGATTTTGCATATATCTCACCAGGTAAGTCTTACGCAAGGTAGTGGAAGGACAGTAGTATCAGGGTAGTGGTATTACCATTATCAATCTCATTAAAATCAGGTCTAAGTTCTCGCTGCCGCTAAACAAAGATCTGAGGACATCCCATTACGGATCACATCAGAACGACCTTTCGCGACTTTGACTGACCACTGAAAGGACTAACAAGAAGTCGACATCAGCCAATTAGAAAGCAGCATTCTTGAGCTTTATGGCACTTGTTTCGACCTGGCGACTTCCATTTCAGACCACGCTTGAAAGCTATGTTGACACAGTTCACGATTAAAATTTTGAACATTGATCAAACATTCCGGAATGTCTAATATATGGTTGAGATTGTAAGGCAGTGCTTCCCACGTACTGTGCATAGCCTCCTCCGTTCAAATGTTTATCCCACGGAAGTGAGAGATAGACGATTATTTTGATGTTATCAGTCGTAGGGGCTGTAATATCTCATGTTAACATTTTCGAGTTTGCATAATTAGAAAAGACATTCCGACTGTCACTTTCATGATCTGGTAAGCGACGCTTTGATTGGTCAGATGAAAGGTCGTGGCCCGTAATTGGATGTTCTCAGATCTTTGTTAAGCGATAGCGAGAACTAAGATCTGATTTTAAGGAGATTGACAGATTGTAGGTGTTTGTGATGCAAAGTCTGTTCCCCTTATACTTGTTCAGCACCATGACCGCCTCTGTGATCTAGTGGAAGGGCATCCATCCTGAGAGCGGAAGGTCTGGGGTTTGATCCCAGGCCATGTCATACCAATAGATGTTAAAAGATGGAACTTACCCTGTTTGGCGCTCGGCATTATGTGGCTAAAACAAGGACTGGTCGGCTGGGAGTCAATATACTGTGTCTGAGTGGGGTATTCATGTTAAACTGAGGCATGGTATCTCAGTGGGCTAGCACTATAACCTCGGCATTAGCCCGGACAAGTACAAGCAGCCACACACACACGTGCATGTTCATCGCTATATAAGTGATCTGCTGAGACCGCATAGAAATATTTCGGCATATAGAATACATCGTAAATAAATAGGAAATAATTGTTGCTGATAACTCACATGAAATTGAAAGGTTACTTGAAGGTCAATTGGTCAATTTTACGATGGTTCTAGAATGTTGTACAGTGTTGATGGTACCATGTTGTACAGTGTTGACAGGGTACCATGTTGTACAGTGTTGACAGGGTACCATGTTGTACAGTGTTGACAGGGCACCATGTTGTACAGTGTTGATGGCACCATATTGTACAGTGTTGATGGTACCATGTTGTACAGTGTTGACAGGGTACCATGTTGTACAGTGTTGATGGTACCATGTTGTACAGTGTTGATGGTACCATGTTGTACAGTGTTGACAGGGTACCATGTTGTACAGTGTTGACAGGGTACCATGTTGTACAGTGTTGACAGGGCACCATGTTGTACAGTGTTGATGGTACCATGTTGTACAGTGTTGATGGTACCATGTTGTACAGTGTTGACAGGGCACCATGTTGTACAGTGTTGACAGGGCACCATGTTGTACAGTGTTGATGGTACCATGTTGTACAGTGTTGACAGGGCACCATGTTGTACAGTGTTGATGGTACCACGTTGTTCAGTGTTGACAGGGCACCATGTTGTACAGTGTTGATGGTACCATGTTGTACAGTGTTGATGGTACCATGTTGTATTGTGTTGACAGGGTAATGTTGTACAGTGTTTACAGGGTACCATGTTGTACAGTGTTGACAGGGCACCATGTTGTACAGTGTTGATGGTACCATGTTGTACAGTGTTGATGGTACCATGTTGTACAGTGTTGACAGGGCACCATGTTGTACAGTGTTGATGGTACCATGTTGTACAGTGTTGATGGTACCATGTTGTATTGTGTTGACAGGGTAATGTTGTACAGTGTTTAAAGGGTACCATGTTGTACAGTGTTGATGGCACCATATTGTACAGTGTTGATGGTACCATGTTGTATTGTATTGACAGGGTAATGTTGTACAGTGTTGACAGGGTACCATATTGTAAAGTGTTGATGGTACCACGTTGTTCAGTGTTGACAGGGCACCATGTTGTACAGTGTTGATGGTACCATGTTGTACAGTGTTGATGGTACCATGTTGTACAGTGTTGATGGTACCATGTTGTATTGTATTGACAGGGTAATGTTGTACAGTGTTGACAGGGTACCATGTTGTACAGTGTTGATGGCACCATATTGTACAGTGTTGATGGTACCATGTTGTATTGTGTTGTACCTTAAAGCTGGTCCTCTGGTGGTACTCCCGTATGGCTCTCACCATCACCAGCGCAACGGGGAATGTTGCGTTCACTCCCTCCTTCCCAGTCGATGTCTTGATGAAGTCAGCACCTGCACAGACATCAACTTCTCACTATTCAACATAAACACTTCACCCAATATTTATGTGGATCTTGGTGATTTTGTTTGAGAGCCAGAAGTCGATTTCGTTATGTGATTTTGATTTTGGTCTATGCATAGACTTGTTACCATGGTTAGTCCAGTCAAAATATAACTCCATAATTGCAGCCTAGTTCAGCAAGGGTTGAAACTGGACATTTAAAATCAGGTAACTCCTTTGCATTGGGAAGATGCCCCCATCCCCCTCCACACCACCCCTTCACAAGCCTCCCCATCCCCCTCCACACCACCCCCTCACAAGCCTCCCCCTCAACACCACCCACTCACAAGCCTACCCCAGCCCCTCCACACCATTCACTCACAAACCTCTCCCCCTCCACACCACCCACTCACAAGCCTCCCCACCCCTCCACACCACCCACTCACAAGCCTCCCCACCCCTCCACACCACCCACTCACAAGCCTCCCCACCCCTCCACACCACCCACTCACAAGCCTCCCCTCCACACCACCCACTCACAAGCCTCCCCCAGCCCCATCCACACTACTGCCTCACAAACCTCGCCCAGCATCCTCCACACCACCCTCGCACAAGCCTTCCCCAGCCCCCTCCACACAACCCCTCGCAAGCCTCCCCCATCCCCCACCACACCAACCACTCACAAGCCTCCCCCATACCCCTCCACACTACCCACTCACAAGCCTCCCCCCTCCACACCATCCACTCACAAGCCTCCCCTCCACACCACCCACACACAAGCCTCCCCACCCCTCCACACCACCCATGCACAAGCCTCCCCTCCACACCACCCACTCACAAGCCTCCCCTCCACACCACCCACTCACAAGCCTCCCCCAGCCCCATCCACACCACTGCCTTACAAACCTCGCCCAGCATCCTCCACACCACCCTCTCACAAGCCTCCCCCATCCCCCTCCACACCACCCCTCGCATGCCTCCCCCATCCCTCACAAGCCTCCCCCATCCCCCTCAAAACCACCCCTCACAAGCCTCCCCCATCCCCCTCCACACCAACTACTCACAAGCCTCCCCTCCACACCACCCACTCACAAGCCTGTCCCAGTCCCTCCACACCACTCACTCACAAGCCTCTCCCTCCACCCACTCACAAGCCCCCCCCCTCCACCAACTCACAAGCCTCCCCCTCCACACCGACCACTCACAAGCCTCCCCTCCACCCACTCACAAGCCTCCCCCTCCACCCACTCACAAGCCTCCCCCTCCACCCACTCACAAGCCTCCCCCTCCACTTATTCACAAGCCTCCCCTTCACACCACCCCTCACAAGCCTCCCCTCCACACCACCCCTCACAAGCCTCCCCCTCCACCCACTCACAAGCCTCCCCCTCCACCCACTCACAAGCCTCCCCCTACACCCACTCACAAGCCTCCCCCTCCACCCATTCACAAGCCTCCCCTTCACACCATCCCTCACAAGCTTCCCCAGCCCCTACATGCCACCCACTCACAAGCCTCCCCCTCCACACCACCCACTCACAAGCCTCCCCACCCCTTCACACCACCCACTCACAAGCCTCCCCCTCCACACACTCACCTGCCATCATGCACACCATGCTGGCCTTGTACACATTCACCATCGACCCCAGCTCCCCGGTGGCCAAGATCGTCTTCATGTGAGCCTCCCCACAAGCCTCCCTCATCAGCTTCACCTCTTCGTAAATACCTGAGAAAAGAAATAATTGTTATTTTTACTAGTCGGCACAAAAAATCAGCTACAGAGTAGTGTTAATAATGGCAAAAGTGATAGTGTACAAGGAAATATAACTGGTCTTGGCAGACTTACACTGATTATATAATGTATGGTCTTAAGTGTGAATTAGACATTCAGTGTCAGTTAAATGCAGCCGTACAGCAAATAACCAAATATGTCATGTGGGGGGAATTCAAAGTGGCTCACGTTTCTCACTAGAAGGTTACTGTGACCTTTTGTTGTCAAAACATTGCCATCACCTGTCACACGTCGTATGTACAGTATTCAAATTAAAAAAACACTACAATAATATGGAAAGGCATAGTCAAAAAGCATATTTTACTAATCACCTTACCTGTAACTGCGACCTTGACCTCACCATTTCCAATAAGGCCCTGCCCAATGGGTGACATGTACCAAGTCTCATTGACCTACAGTAAGTGCTTCTCATTTTTGTATGACCTTGACCTATGCTTAGAACTTGCTGTCAAGGCCTTAGTTTGTTTGTTTGTTGTGTTTATGACAGTGTTACATAGCTAATCAAGTCTGGACCAGACAATCAAGTGATTGACATCATGAGCATCGATCTACACAATTGAAATATGATGGCATGCATCAACCAAGTCAGCGAGCCTGACTACCTGATTCAGTCAGCTTAACACTTCCACAGGGATGATTAATGTCTAGTCTCCAGACCTGTAAATCATAGTTACACACCTTTCCAGTTGCCTGTGAGTGCATAGTGCCTGTTGATGACGATGTCTATCTCGGAGGCTCCATCTGCTACAGCTATTCCGATCTCCTCCAGCCTCGTCTTCAGGGGCACCTGTCCCGTGGGGAACCCAGTGGCAACTAGACGGGGAGGAAAACAAAGAATCAGTTCAGACTGGACTAATTTAAATGATAATGTCAGCCTGGAGATGATAACACTGACACAACTGCCTGACATGACAAGTTGCACTAACCATGAGGAGGAGCTGGAGACATTCTTCACAAGGTCAGAGTGAGAGAGTTAAAGTTTAACGTCACATCGGCAATATTTCAGCCATATCGTGACGATTAACAAGTTCAGAGGTAGGAGAAATGGAGACATAACTTCCGGAATGAAGCTAGGGTTGCATATCATTATTATTAGTAGTAGTAGTAGTATTATAATTATTTTTATTATTATTATTATTATTATTATTAATGGGCACTTCATTTTCATTCTCATCTCCCGGGAAAGAAAACAACACAAGCAGCCTGTGAGGCCCTAGAAAGTTAACAGTCACATTACCATCTCATCCTACCGGGTACCCATTCACTGCTGGTAAACACAGGCATAATTCTTATTTTTGATTATGACCTGGATAATTTAGGACATTTTTTAGATAGACTGATGATTTCCTCAAAATGATATTTTTGATCTAAAGGCTTCCTCTGTTCGAGTCAGAAGTCATTTAAGTTAGGCCATCAAATATTTTCAGAGGGCCATCTTGCCCTTTTGATAAAGCACCCAGCAGTCTCTCAAAACCTTTTGTGTCAAATGACTTAGGAAGGCAAAAAACGTAAATAACATTATTTCTTAAACATTTTCAGCAAACTCGATGTCACCAGCTTCCTACCTGATGCAATAGGGATCTGTTTAGCATTGGACTTCTTGAGCACAGCCGCACAGTCGGACACTCTGTTGGCGTACACACAGACTGCCCCGACAGTGATGCCTTTGTCCAACATGTCCATTGCTTTCAGCAGGTCCTCTCGGATCGGTTGTCGGGCTTTGAAACATAACCGTGACACGTTGGCTGGCGTGTCATCCCCAGCCAATGTTGTCAGATCGATACAGGTGACTGCCCGCAACAGCCATGCAGCCTTGAAGAAAAATAGACATATCTGATTGATTTGTAGCAAATTCTAAGCAGGAAGCAAAACCATAATGAACTCTCTCAAAACTTCTTTTCACCTTGACTGAGTCCAGGGAGTCCAATAAATAATTATATAAGATAATAAATCGCAAAGAACAACATGAACAATGACGAACGAAGCATGGTTTATTTCACAATAAGACATTGTTCTATCATGGCGTCATTTCTGAAGATTCGAACACACGCTCTCAACTTCGTGACATCGTAAATTGGATGACATTATTTTAAAGAGGGACATGCCTATTGAGTTGCTCCCCATAGATCTAGCTGGACAGCCCAGATGAACACAATGGCCGAACGATCACATCCAAAAGTGGGAGGAATATGACAACCGGTATTGGGAGAAATGGTGCAGATAATTGATGAGAATGTTGTGAGAATACCAAATTTAACCCACCTGTACATAAAAAGAAGTAGTCCCACATTGCTGGGGTCAGATTGTATTCGGGGAGTCATCATTATTTAAAAACTGGTAAATGTTTTAAAGCTTATACAAGTTATTGACATTCTTAAAAAGGCTATACAAATGCTGAAAGCTCATATAAGAAATAATGACTCATGGTTGTTGTTTATCATAAAATAAAACACTGCAGGGAGAATAAACCACTCAGAGCTGCCCTCATGATTTATTCTCCCAATAGAGTTTTATTGTACGATAACAACGACCACTTGTCGTTTATTTCTTTATTAGGTGTCCTTGCAGGCAATATGAGAGTCCTGTAAAGTAATGAAATGGTGTAAAGTACTCAACATGTTGATAATTTCTTTAGAAAGAGGAATGAATCAAAGATCATGTGGACAGTGGTCATGATTGATGGATGAAATAACAGACACCCATAACTGCTCTTGATGCGCTGTAGGTACAACGAATATTATTGTGCGTCCCTAGAGACGCAGTGAATCTTTTTCTGTGTCCATTCTCTATATCTGTGCACACTGGACGCACAGCTGTGAGTCGCAGAAACCCTGATGTATTGCTTGTTGTTTAACGCCACACTCAGCAATAATCCAACTAGATGTCAGCAAACTTTTAGTAATGAAGTCAGGACCAGATGATCAAGTGATTACCGGTAATATTATGAGCAGCGATGAACGCTGTCGAGATCCGATGCCACCCAATAAACCAAGTCACAGAGTCTGACTTCCTGATCCTTTAGTCACCTCTTACAACCAACACTGCTGGGGAGAAATTCGTACCAGAATCCACACAGGGGCTCAAAACTAGTGACCACATTATTCTGACCACATTGTCTCGCATCTCTTTTCTATTTCAGAGTCAATGTCTTGAGCAATACATCACAGAATTTAAGTAAGTGAGTAAGGTTTTACACCACTTTTAGCAATAATCCAGCAATATCACAGCAAGGGGCACCAGAAATAAGCTTCACATGTTGTACAGGGATTGACTTAGACCGCAATTCTGCGATATTCTCGCATAGTTGTCATAGATATTGCATCAACATTCCATCAGCGCCATTGAAAATCATGTACATCTTTCAATATTTTTTGCAATTGCTCAATATTATCTTCCGTACCAATAAAAGTAAAAAAACATTTGAAATATTTCTAGTGGCCAAACGGTAAGACGGATTTAGAGTTTTTAAAATATGCTACGATAGGTTTGCTTCCAGATTTGTTTATGAAAACTGTGACTTTGTCATTCAAATGTAACTCAAAAACATTGTGAATGTCAACAGTCTTTTCAACTTTGGGTTACTTGTAAACATTTTCTGGCTGCTGCTCATGGCAAACACGCTGCCTTCTGTGGGAAAAAAAAGGGGTAATTGTTGCTAATTAAGCAAAAGAGTGAACTAGGAACAATAAACTATCACTTCTAATTAATTGAAAATTCAATAATTGTTCCTTCAATACATTACACACTACAGATGGAAATAGACATCAAAATTGGTGAAAGCATCGTGTTTCATTTCATTCTGGAATGTAAATAACATATTTTCGCCAACAAACTGTAACACCATTTACCATGTTTACAACAGTCGCTATTTCCGGTCATTACTTTTAATATATTAAATTACCAAAGACCTCGAAATGTGATAACTCCAGATTGTTGTCTCCTGCATGCCAATGACATGAACAGCTGATGGTGGTAAACACGCTTCCTAAACTATCCATAATTGTCCTAGTGAATAATTCCTCTGGAAGTCGACAATGAACAGAAACATAAATACAAATGTAATTTTCTTTTCATACTAATCAGTGCTAATGCTTATATTTTTAAATATTTGCAGTGGAATAATAATGTTCACAAATTGGATATCTGAGGATATATCTATTTAATCAGTATCTAGTAACATTAATTGCAACATAATTCTAGCCATAAATACCAAAAATCAACAACAGTTTTCACTGTGTGAAAATGAAATATCTCTGAAAATTAGAAAAATCTCATCACACGCCCCAAAATCTCATTGCTTTTGGACCAGGGGAGATTTTCTGTTCTGCGTTATTATTTACAGCAGACAGTACAACATACAGTCTCAATCATCTCTGCCCATTCAAACTCGCCCAATCATGCATCTTCCACAGCTTGTTTTCTTTGTTTACAGTCATACTCATTACTGTTTATGAGAAATTTTCCTTTTTTCAGCCTGTTTGTTAATAAAATCATGTTTTTTCTCATCAACCACACCACGCCCGATTTAAAACTTCCCTCACATATTCATTCATCAACTGTTCAGTATCGCTTTGACACTTGAGCGTCAGTAACGAGTCGCTTACTAGAAACATCATAAATATAGTTGTCTCCCTTTCAATGCCTGCTGCGCAAACGCACTTCCAGTTTATTTCTGTAATAGACTGTGGCCAAGTATGTCGCCAATTTATGATACGAGCAACTATGTATTTCTTGTTATTAAGCAGTATGTGTGAGAGATGAAAACAGAGAGATAATCACAGATGTAGGTTTGAAACTAGTAAATGACCATAAAACTTAACTATTCACAACACAATATAAAAGTGGGCTAAATATCACCAGCAACTAAAGGTAGGCCACCATACTGGGGACCATGGGGACTTACAGTACCTTTGCTACCTGCATGGACCCCAGCAGGATTGACACCATCCCTTTTGTCACTGGTGATTATTGAGAAGGTTAGCCAAAGATTAAAACAAACACATATTCTACGATTAAAACACTGGTATATATAAAATACTTACATACGTGGGCTTACATACCCTCTCAGGGAGACAATAATTTTATGCCACTTCAACCCCCATCTGGGTTCAGCCTCTAATAATTGCAGTTCATAATCATATACTACCAATTTATAATATATATAACTTTCTACATCAAAATTTATCAATTAATTCAATTTCTTTCAAAAATTCAAGAACTAAATGAGAGTTTATGCTGAAAAGATAAACTCTCATTTAATTTTAGGTTATCCTGCATATTTTATTGAAAACGATTAGAGATGAATTGAATATGATTAAAATATGTACTCGCTCGGTAGGACGAGCGTTTGTTCAAATTTTCTCGCCCTGCACATGCTGCCACTTGTCAATACGAACAGACGAGCAGATTTTTCAAGCCCTGTTGCACACATTTGCCACTTTGGTTAAACCAGTGGCTTTGGTAAAAACTATCAAGCATCATATTCCATACTAGTTGATCCGGGAAGATCATATAAGAGACACAAGTCTGCAAAGTTAGTTACTGCGTTTTAGATCACTGGAACGCCCAGTCCCAAATTCCCACTTGAAACAGGATACCACTACAGAGTCCATTTGTAGAAAGCAATGATTTATATTACTAACATATCACCAACCTGCCATTGTTTCTTCACTGTCCTCCGTGTGCCCAGAGTGTCTGCCCGACGCTTCACAGCTGCCAGGTTAATGTTGACATTCTGAAACCAGCTCTCATCTACGGAGAAGCAAACATTCATTACAATAGGTGAGGTGAAATAGGGTTTCAGTGAGTGAGTGAGTGAGTATGGGTTTACGCCGCTTTTAGCAATATTCCAGCAATATCACGGCGGGGGACACCAGAAATGGGCTTCACACATTGTACCCATGTCGGGAATCAAACCCGGGTCTTCGGCGTGCCGAGCGAACACTTTAACCACTAGGCTACCAGCCCGCCCGAAATGGGGTTTTAGGTCACATTCAAGATAATTGCACTTATATAGCAACATGTGTGCGTGCTGTGCGTGCGTCGCTCGTCCTTACTAATGCTGATTTTATAGCGCTAGTCCACTGAGATACCATGCCGCAGTTTAACATGAATACCCCACTCAGACAAAGTATACTGACTCCCAGCCGACCAGTCCTTGTTTTAGCCACATAATGCCGAGCGCCAGACAGGGTAACAACAAGTACCATCTTTTAACGTCTTTTGGTATGTTTATTGTTTATTGGTTTGTTGTTTTACGTGGCATTATTCCAGCCATTTGACGGCGGTCTGTAAATAATCGAGTCTGGACCAGACAATCCAGTGATTTACATCATGAACAACGATCCACGCTTTTTCAATCGATGACATGCATCAATCAAGTCAGCGAGCCTGACCACCCGATCCCATTAGTCGCCTTTTACAACAAGCATAGTCGCCTTTCACGGCAAGCATGGGTTGCTGAAGACCTATTCTACCCTGGATCTTCACGGGTCTCTTTTGGTATGATGCAGCGGGGATCTAATCCCAGACTTTCCGCTCTCCAGGCAGACACTCTACCACTAGGCTACAGAGGTGGTGCTCATTACAATAGAGTAAGTGAGTAGGCGAATGAGTGAGGTTATACATAACTTTCAGCAATATCCCAGCAATATATGAGCTGTGATCATCAGAAATCAAAACCAGGCCTTTAGCTTGACAAGGGAATGCTTTAACCACTAGCTTACCTCACCACCCACAGTAATAGTTTTCAGTCAGATTCTCTTCACATATTTTCACCCCCCTCCCTGTCCATGAGTCTTTGAAATGATGCACATGGCCTGAAAAGTTGTTGAGTTGCTTTATAGATTGCAAATAGACAGAATGGTCATCTGCATCTTGTGCTTTAGGGCAGGTCTGCCATTCTGATTCAATTTGACATGAGCGTGGTTAATCTTCAACCTGTGTCTCCTCATAAACGATGAGGCTGATATAAAGCTGATCATAAATTGCTGACATTCATAAAGAGGAAAAGTGGGTTTTAGTCAGAGTATGACGAAGATTCAGAATCAGACTTTGACTTTGACAATGCACCACACTTTGACCCTCACACCATTCATCACACACATAGCCACATGATCATCAATGCAGTTCTTCAAATGACTTGTAATGCAGCCAGGGCAGAGGGCAGATTAGATTGTTGGTGTAGTGATCATGTTACATCCAAATATGTGTATATTGCATCTGAGTTTTTTGTAAGTTTTTTGCATGTTAAAATTGTTTGGTCATTTTTCTCTTTGATTTATGATTCCAGAACATAGCTACAACAGTACTAGTATCTGTTAACAAAAAACACACCTTTAATATCAGCCTACATTTTTCATTGACACGTTACCTTGGTTCCAAGTATTATCTGACAAATTCTTGTGTGCGTTGCATAAAACATCATGTGACTATAATTTACTGTGTGTTGTGAATATAATAGAAACCCCTGTGCTCTAAACGATGATTTGATTTTTTCATGATAAATTCCGACTAATCCAAACATTGATTTATGGTCTGTATTTAATTTTTATTCAGCATAATAGGTAGCATTGTTGTCTATTCAAGGGCGGTTGGGCAGCCTAGTAGTTTTCTGAAAATTCTTTGTGTAATTTTTGTATTATTTTACAATCGAATCCCTGGATATTATGTGTTTAAAGAGTCGTCAAAACATGCATGATGCACTTATTCAAAAACCAATTCATGCCAACTTTACCATGCGTATTAATTTTGTGCCTCCGAGTCCCCCAAATGTTTTGTCCCCCCCCCCCCCCCCCCCCCTCTCTCTCTCTCTCTCACACACACACACATTTAATAACTGTCCCTGACACGTGTATAGATCTGTATTTTTTCATCTTCATGAATGATCTGCGTAAAAGGAAACAGTAAACAAACTGACAAGCATAAGGGTCAACACCTACACATCCAAATACTGATCCACGAGTACAAGTATGGGGTTTGACAAGTGAAACTCATACCGCGTTCCTCTGTTGCGGTGTTCCAAAGATACAAAACTATCAGATATAGGCCTGTGTGTCACAAGATTTGGTTGTGTAGATGTGCTTAACCCATATACCAGACCCCAGCTGTAGGGACTTGGTCTACTTAGGTCAGGGTCGTTCCCATATCTCGTGAATCCTTCATTTCTCTCTAATTTATGCAAAATACTTTTGCATTGTCAATGCCAGACAACAATTTGTTGAACTTTCACATAAAATGTACAACGAATCCCTAATTATTCAACGACACAGACAGATTGATTACTGACCGAATTCAACTCCGGGATTCCTGGCAGCCATCGTGGATCGAAATGGGAGGTAACTCTAAAACATTAAACGTCTTCGCATACCACACACATTTGCCCCTGGCGAACCAACACACGGAAATTCACAACTTCGCATATTTGGATATGACTGTCATTTATCAATATATAGGAGCTGCAGATCTAACATTTGAAGGATATACATATTTCACTATGCAAATAATAAGTAATTATTTAATGTAATTGTACGCATTTTTTATGGTGTTTTTTGTTTGTTTGTATTGTTTTAATGGGGCACTGATCTAAAGCAATTCCCCGGGACTGGTTGTTGCCTTGTTATTGTTTTTTTCCCGTGGGTACCCGGATGATAAGGCAGAAACCTAGACTAGTTCGCAACCTGTGCTGCGCAATTCGTAAGAGCATTTGTCACTTTTATTGATATAGTATAAGGGCGTATGGTCACATTAATCAACAAAATTAAATACAGTTTTGGAAATGATAAGGAAAATTAGGTATCTTGTGGGTAGCATCGGTAATGGTGACGAAGTTTTGATAAGACACTTGCTTGGTAAGTGTGCGATTTTCGTTTACACTTTTTTGACTTGCAACACAAAGTAAATATTTCTCCTGAAGCCTGAAGATTCAGTTAAAAATATGTCCATCTGTATTATCATGACAACGAATTCCAAACATTTTTTATGTTTAATATCATCACCAAGAGACTCAAAATGTTACCAAGAGACTGAAAAGTACATTTCTATATTGTTTGGCTTCTAATCCAACATAATAATCTGTTGTGATGTTTTTAGGCCCTATTGGTCGTCTTAATCAATTTTGGATAATCTGTTAAAGAAATGGACAGATTTTTCAGCCAAAATGACTGAAATATTTACACATTTTATAAATTGCCTGAGAGAATCACATTTTACAAATTGGCTGTAATATGCAAAGGAAAAGACTTGTGAAAACAACGTCTATCGTGCATCGAAGAATTTTCCAACCAATCTGTCCAGTGCTACTGCAAATGAAGGAAAACAAAATGCGAATATCTTAATTACAACCTACCAAATTTATGTGTATAGTTTTAGGCAGCTTCCTTGTTCGAGGAATGTATCCGTGAATATACACACAAAGGAACAACATCCCAAACGTCTGTAGCTGTAGCTGAAATGTATTCGATGTCACGTGTCTCTGTAAAAAAATTTTTTAAATATATATATCGTTTCGGGATATTATAACCCGTGTTCGTTTCTCAACTGATCACTTAGATTGTTTCGCGTGTTTCACATAGACGTAAAGTCTGAAAGGTCGGCTGAGAAAGCCCACGTGACAACTATTTTCATAACGTCCACGGTTCCTTAAAAATTCCATTGAGCAATGAATCAATATATTATCGGTTAAACCTTTGAACAAAATATGTTGTTTTTACATCGGCACTTCACGCCATGATATGAGTGTATTCCCTTTGTTTTAGTAAACCTAGACATGTAAACACTCACTTTTGGCATATCCACCGTGCAAAATAAAAGTGATTAATCAATCAATGTATTTTCTGTTAATCCTTTGATGACTACGAACGATCCGCTGATTTACAAAAAAATAAATCAACTGATCATTCATCTCTTGCTGGACTGGCCACGTGCGTATTACATAACACACATTTCACCTCACTTCAAACCTGGATTTAGATTGAATAATTACCCCCGACACAATAAATGCCACATGGGAAGTTTCCTCAGGTATTCGGATTGGTGCTACCACCAATTATACCTGTAATAAATTCATTAACTGAGCATCAAGTGAATGACGACAAATACACAAGTGTAGGGTTACACCAGAAAACAAGGGATGACAAGGGAGTTATTATCGTATTATCGACGCAATCCGAAATCCTAAAAAGGCTTTCACTGCATTGATACTTTTTTTTAACTATAACAATCAGGGGTATTTTCAAATGACGACAACCGATGAACTCCGCCGTTCTTTTTGTCTGTTTGTTTAGGCTGAAGAAATTAATTAACATGCGCCCAGGATCACGAAAACTGTTGTCAATAAAGCACAAGATACAAATTGATCAGAACTAATTTTAATCACACGACTACTCAACAACACTCAACAAAATTTACATGTTAACTTTTAACCAGACGACAAGGTAAGGTACGACCCTTATCTCCCCCTGGAAGATAAGGGCGGGTAAGGACATGTCACATGATCCAGGTTTGATGATACAGCCTGCATCTACTTGTGAGTCCAGCTGTGTTTCTCAAGAGCTCTGGCCAAAGTGAACCTCCTTCCGCACTTGTGACAGACATGTTGCCTCTCAGTGCTGTGGTACTCCTTCCAGTGGTCAGAACAGGTCTTAGTGCTGGTGAATGTTTTGTTACACTGGGTGCAGGTCAGGCGTTCAGTGACGCATTCCTTGGCCAAACACGTTATCCGGTGACGTAGTAACATCTGGATATTGGGGTAAGACATGCTGCATCGAATACACTTGTATTTCCCGGACGCCACACTGTCCGGCGTGGGTCTAGTCAAGTTGGGTGTGAGTACAGGATGTGCTGACTGGGTAGCGGCGTGGGGCGAGTAGTAAGCGGAGGGTACGGGTGTGGTTCTCTGGATGACGTCACGGTGTTGTTTTTCGATGAATGGCGCCTGTTGGTATTCTGTCGTCTGCCTATACTGTGCGGCTCGTGCACGCGCTGTTGTCTGCCAATACGGCGCAGCTTGTGGTTGTTCTGTCGTCTGCTGCTCACCTGTAAGTTGTATAGATGTCTGCTTGGTGAACACAGCTTGAGAAGGTACATCCTTAGCGGAGCCAAGGGTTGATTTAGAGGTATCCTGAGCCTTTCCTGGGGTCGATCGAGACCGCCATCTACTGTTGTCTTCTGTTCCAGAGAGATCGATGACAAGTGGAGGAGATTCATCAGTATCATCTCGTAGAAAAGGGGAATGATTTTTCTCCACAATTGATCCATCATCAAGGCCATCTTCGATGTACTCAGATCTTTCAAGTGTAGATGAGGTGGGGGGTCGAACCCGGGTCTTTGGCTTGGGATGTGGAGAGTCTTCAGTAGGCAGTTCATCTGGTAGGTCGATGACAAGGGGCGGTGTACCGTCTGACTCATCTCGCAATGGAATGTCCTGTTCCACGCACACGCGGATGGATTCACGTCGACTTTGGGCTTCTGCAATCTGCTCTCCGATATGCTTCAATTGTTCAAGACCAGAACGTACAGAGCCACGGGTTCCAGCTGTAGGTTTCATTTTCACAGCTGTGACCACGTCCGTCTGGAACTTGGCTCCCATCTGTACTCTTGGTACAACGTTGAAACTTCTGAGTGATCCGATAGAGTTGGATTTCTTAATTCGGGTTTTCTTTGGATTTGGTTCTCCTGGAGACATTTTGTCGTTACCGTCCCTGTAGTATTGCAACATGGTTGCCTTGTCATCGGAACATTTTTCTGGGCCGGGGACTTGGTCAGATACGGTCTTCTTGGTACCAAGGGATGGAACGGTGACATTCCGTCTAAATTTTGTCCTCTTCACTGAAGTTATTGGTCTGGGGAGATTGGCATGGCTGTTTGTTTCTAGTCTGGTCCACGTGTTGGTGAAGCTGGGCACTGCCGGGCGGGGGATGTGGATGTTCTGGTGGTCGACGGCCCTGTGGTGATGGAAGGATATATCGGCCAGATTATGTGCGGTCGACAATAACGCTCGGCTAGCATAGCTGTGATCCGCCTCGTGTGAGATGGGCTGCACGAAGGCATTCCAGGGTCCATAAGTGTAGTTATGGTTACGGATGAAAGCTGTGGACGTGTAAGGTGATGGCTGGCGTGGGTTCAGTAGACGGTCAGGACGTGGCCAGTCGGCAAGAGAGGGATATCCAGCAGCCTGCGGTTGGGACAAATCATGTCCCAAAATTGGACGGTATGACTCCTGTGGGTATTCCGGACAAGGGCGTGTTCTGCGCATGACTGGGAAATAAATCATATAACCGTTAGTGTCCCTTATTGTTAACATGTCTACTAAAGTACACGCAAGTACACGGACCACCTAGACGAACGCTTAGACTTTGAAAATATATAATGTCGATAGAAACAAGCTTAAGCAATTACAATTAGCCTCAGTGAGATGGAAGATTCTGAACGAGTGGAATATCTAGACTTGCTTCATTTTGGGCTATGACACCACAGTATGGGCTGAATGAAAGGGAAAATAATATTGTTCAGGGACTGTGGCAGACTATAGGGTATAGTACACTGTATAAATGATATGTGATATTTTCTTGTATTTAAATAACCAACCAGCTTTAATTGAATGAAAAATTAATTCTACACTTTAATACGTATTGTCACACCATTGTATAGAATGTTAAGAGTACATATGTGGATAGTATAGGCATATCGAGTTCAGCTGATTATGCCAACCGGTCCTGGATCTATAAGCACATCCTAGATAGAAATGGTCAGTTATGTATACCCACCAACACTCCTTCTGTGGCACGCAGGTTGAGTCACGCACTGTTCACGCCAAATATATACCCGGTTGAGTCCAACCTTTGGTGGTCGGCGTCTCTCATCTCTGTTGTTACAGTTAAACCCACTCTCTCCCCACTGCCCCCCCCCCCCCCCCCCCCCCCCCCTCACAGTCCCCTCCCTGGATCAATGTACCATGCCACCACTGACTGATCAGTACTGATTGGTAAAACAACAACTGACCAACCCCTTCTCAGATGAATAGAGCGCTAAGACAACAGTGTGAGGTTATGATGACAACACGATTACCTTAATGACATTGTATCAATTTTTTTATTAAAACAAAGTCACATGCTAATCCTTTTGATGTCCTCCACACTTAACTCGGTCTTACGATTTGGAGACGGGTTTGGGTTGTTTTTGGAGTTGTTGGTTTTTTTTGTATCATGACACCCCTCGGTCTTCAACCAGTTTTCCATTCGTGTGTTACACGACATAAACTGCCTAGAAAAGGAAGTATCTTGTCACTTTAAAGTAGATTTTACCAAACAATTGAAAACGTTACTGGACTGACAACAATCACCGAAACACTGCAAAGTGAAAGTACAAAACACAACTATGATACCCGTATCAAAT